GATTGGAAAAGACAAAATGACGAAGTAAAAATACTTGCTGAACTGGGAAGGAAATCTATTACCGTCCAAAAAAGAACGACAACCCTGTTACAAGGAATTCAAAAAGGAAATTCTTGCTAAGATTAACTTTTGCAGCCTGACAACTTGTTTTATTGCTTGAAGCACCTACTTTCACCATTGAAGCCATTACTTGCCGATCTCCTACCATGTGTGACGTATTAGGCAAGGCTGAAAACTTCGACAGATTATAAAAGGGGATTGACATTATCAGGAAGGGAAAAGGTGAAGCACTGCTCAGGGGTTCGATGTCAATGATCTGAAATTTATTTTGTTTTCGCAGACGTCATGTTTACTGCTATTTTCTATTGGATCAGATCCAAACTACATGGAGCTGTCCGGCTTTCCCAAGTTTTGCACATAGCGCGTCATCATTGGAGAATGAATCAGTGCGCCAACTTCAATAGTGGGAGTTAACAGTGCATTAATATGAATGACAAAATCGAAAGAAAAAGCGACGGTTGAACTCTTTCACCTCCATTTGAAATACTTCATCAGGATTCAACTGAAGTATTCTTCAACCGTGACTCTTGAAGCTAGGACATTAAATATACTTACAAGCATCAATCAAAAGAAGTAAAAATGGATACTGCGGACTGATTGTTGAAATTGATAGACGAAGCGATAGACAAAGAAGATATAGGGAGTATGGAACTATCCTATTGGTTGCGATGAGTGGTTCTTACAGACTAAGGGGCTAAACGAAGGACTAACTGAATGGTCTCTCGTAGGTTGCTGTTTGTTGGTCTATTACCTACCTCCTTTGTCCATTGCAACCACCCGCTTCTACCAATAAATGGGATCCCTTCATATCTCTTTTGTCTTCTTGGTCTACAAGCTTTCAGCTTGGGTCTATCAATTTCAATAATCAGCTCGCTGGGATCACCTATACAATGTTAAACCTAGTAAGCTCTTTAAACTAACCATGGGCGGATCCAAAAATTGGCAACACTGTCTTTTCCACGTTTACACCTATGGAGATGTATCGATTCTTGAGGGGGCCAGGTGCTTCGGCAAGAATAGATTATTTAACACAGCTTTAGATGGAGGAAAGTCAGTGTTGCGAATGGCTGGATCCGCCTCTGAAACTAATCAAAATTGTATAAAAGTCAAAAGCTGAGTCATATACCTTTGAAATACTCTTATTTCACCACCAAGCAATCAAGCATCTTCTGTTCGTAATTTGCGGTATTGGAATAATAGACACCTGAACCATGCTTTAAGGATGTTCAAAAACTGCAAAAGCTGGCCTGACCCCTGTGTTCCAGGAAAATTCGAGAACGTAACAAATAGGCCCTAATATTTTATCGCCGACAGGGATGGTAGGTGCCTCGTTAAAGGAACAAACCGCGCTTGATTACAACAGACATCATCGCAGCGTCGGACAATGAGCCCGTGGGCGACCCATGCGATGGTCCAATCCAAGTCCAAACCAAACCGCGTTCCAAAATTAATACCTGTCTCGTCAAATTGAAGTGAGTTCCTCATTATAAATCACTTACTCGGACGAGATCCGCAGACGCGAATTTGGAGCTTTTATCCTCGCGTCCAGATCCGCAAGCATCATTTGTCGATAGCTCCGGTTGGAAAGCACCTATCCGCGTAATTTTTTCAATGGGAAAATTTACTGACTGTATTTGGCTGTTTGTGCCGACGTCCTTAGGCCAAAACTTTATCTCCGGGCAAAAACTCAAAGAAAAAACAAAATATTACTGACTGTATTCCTAGTTCCTCCAATAGCTATCGTTGACGAAAAACATTCTTTTTCGACTGAAATAAAGTTTTCCGATGGTTAAAGGTTTTCCCGATAAATTTTGGCGAAAGCCGCGCCTTTACTTGAAAATATCACACCACAATAATCAGTACCTAGGCACTCAACCTAAAATGGAAAGGTTTTTTGTTGGTCAAACACTCTTTTTTAGTAATCACGTAAATGTCATTCGCTACTTTGTATTCGACCAAATTCGATCGGAATAAAAAATTTTGCGATCGGTCTTTTGACCGGACGCTTAAAGATTAATCTACAAACTAGGGGGCTACGTATGCCCCCCCCCCCCCGTATGTCCAATCGGAAGCTAAGCGTTACGCGTTACTCTTCTGATATTATAACATTAACGTTTTCTATTACTTTACTAAGCTTGGAAAAAATATTTCGATTTGCAAGTTTCTATAAGCTTCCGACTTTCGCAAAAATTAATCAGTTTCTATGACTCTACACTATTAAAGTATCTGGTTACACGGGAAACATTTTGAGCAGGAATAACCATCGATACGATTTTGGTCAAAGTTCAATCACGTGCAAGAGTTGTTGAGCAATGAGCATTCACGATGATAATTCAGATACGCGTTTTCCGACCTAAGCCATCGATGCCCTCCCTCATTTTTCCTGGATGTAAAATAACTCAAACCCGACATATACGACAGCTGCGAGCTGATGGAGCACTTAACAATTTTTTGGGAATGTGGCTGGTTGCAAAGCTTCGACTCCGTCGTCCAACGCCACATCAATCTCCTCAAAAGATTGCCGCCCATTGCCAAGTAGCGGCTAAATTATTGAGACTCCCGTGACAAATTATTTGATTTAAACTCGTGCACGACATGGCAGCATCGGGAAAAAGGTAGGTTGCTGATCACGGAGCTACCTGGCATGAAATAGATTTCAGCGGTTCAATTACAACGAGGAAAAGCCTAATCCGTTTAAAATAGATGGAGCACTTAAAACAACGTAGGACTATTCACTTATAGTCCGAGAGGAGGCTTTGTGCTCATCAATCAGTTCGCTTTGTACAGATTTATCATGACATTTATCGGGTCTACGCGCCGGGCCAGGGGGTAAATCGCCTGAGAAAACGAGGTATAAAGGCAGTAAGCAGTGCTTCCTTCATCGCTGAAGGAGTGGAGGAAAAATTTACGAAAAAAAATTGAAAGGCATTAAAACAATCAGTAACAAAATAATGAGTTAAACTTGATTCATTATGAAAAAGAAAAAGAAAAAAAATGAGAGGAGAAAGAGTCCAGCTGGGCACCAAACTCGGCCAGAGCTGGGGACTTGGTTTAAAACCATGAACAGGGTATGACTGATAAACTTGTCTTCAGATAGTAGACTATATCGTCGCTAGGTTGACAAAAGGGCGTAATTACACATTGAGACGAGTCCGAAAAAAACAAGGAGTTCTATGGACGACAGGGTTCACTGCAAAATATAGTTACGCCCTTATGTCAAAAGGCTGACGATATGTGCCAAAAATAGCTGGAATTTAGGGGTAATCGCCATCTCTTCCATACGGCTTGTGCAACGTAAACCTATCTCTGTGTGAACGAGGCCTTTCATTTATAAGAAAAGAACGAAAAAATTATGAAAGAATAAACATGAATGTGGTTTGATTATTTTAATTTCTGACACCACGCCAACCGCACTGTGTTTGACGCAATGCGTGAAATATCCCTACAGTCTTGTAGGCGATATGCGATTCACGCCGACCGCTGCTAACCGCACTGTTTTTGACGCAATGCGTGAAGTATTCATGCAGTCTTGTAGGCGCTATGCGTTTCCGCCAACCGCTCCTGACCGCACTACGTTTGACGCAATGCGTGAAGTATTCATGGAGTCTTGTAGGCGCTCATATGTGTTTTATGCTGACCGGCGCGGCGGGCCGAGGGCTTCTCCATTTCATCTCAAGTCCTCGTCATCATTGTTCTCTGCGCCGCGCCGTTCTAGGCCGAATAGCGTTTTTGGTTTCTCTCTTGACTAGACTAATGAAACGTGCTGTCTCTTGTATCACCGAAAGACGAACAAATTGGAAATTACTGTACTTTAACTCTCAGGAAATGAGAGATTTTGTCGCCTTTTCTCCTTTGTAATTTCTTTTCTTTTTCTGAATCAGATTTTTTTCTTGACACTTACATTTGAAAAAATTACAACATTTGCCACCCCCTTTTGCCACCATTGGCCGCGGCCCATGTGGCCACCCCCTAAATCCGGCCCTGTCAACAGAAATGCTTTACTCACAGCACACTATTGCTTGAGGCATAGACTAATCTCGGAAAACTGGCATTACAATTTGTCTTTCCGAGACTTAGTTTTTGAAAAATTCGCGTTGGAGTGACCAATACACCAAGTTGTATACCCTGAAAGAACCAAGATTCCTTTAAACTCACCTCCAACTTGAGATTTCGATCATTTTGAAACCATGGATAAGTACAGCGCAAAAAATTGTTGGAGGTTAACCATCATTGGAAAAAAGTTTCATGGGTCTAGGGTCCAGACTCCTAGAAAATTTGAAAAGAAAAAATACTTTTGACTCAATTTTATTTTTTCTTGAATCGAACCAAGCCTCTTGATTAGGCGAGTTTCCTTATGATTCGATCAAAAATCCGATTAAATCAAAAGTATTTTTTCTTTCAAATTTTTTAGGAGCCTGGACTTTGAATCAAAGAGACGTTTTGTCCAGTGATTGGCTGAATTCTGGTCCGTAATCATGATCAAAATTCAAAGAGGACGATTGCTTCCTCATATAGATTGGAACGTTTAAGGAAATAAAAAAATTTAAAAGGAAAAAAAAAATTAGACTCGTGGAACAAGCTACTACAGTCTGGCCGTTTGTCCCTGATGAGACACCCTGTAAATTGTCTCTGGTCCGAGCTCGGTGCCGATTAAGTGGATTGCATTTTGCAAGAAGGAACCAGGAGCAATGCCATGTTGCTAATATTGTGCAATTTCACCCTTTGCAATAAAACTATTGTAATCATGCAAAAATATGAAATTTAAATGGTAATTTTTGTCTCAAATTTACAGATTTTAGCGTGTAGAATAGAAATTGTTTGTAGATGATCAGGGTTTTCTTCCAAGACAAAAGAAGTTGCACGATCTTAGCACCATTGCAATGCTCTTGGTTCCTTCTTGCAAAATGCAATCCAAATGATCTAAGTAAAAAAACACTCACCACTCGATGCTACGGTAGCCTTTGGCGCAACAGTGAAGAGACTTGAGGGAGTTGGTGACGCTGAACTCCTGGGAGCTGAGCTCCTTGGTAAACTGCATCCAGGGCGCTTTGGCGGAGGCGATCATGTCGACGCAACAGTAGTCCAGCGACGCTGTCACCAGGCTCACCAAAGCCCACCAGACTCCGATCGCGATCGTCGGCCCCAATGATCTCATCTTGAACCCAACATCAGTCCGTGCCCGAGTGGCCGAGTCCCCACACTCTCGATACGACCCCTACCTCACCCAACAGCCCCCGAGAACACACGCAGAACTACCCGAATGTTCACTCGTAACCCATGAAAAACTTACAAAAACCGATAGTTTCTAGTCACTCGGAAAAGTTTTTGAAAATTCACGAAAGAGCGCACTGAGTCGTCACGGAAATTACGTGGAAAGGTCCTTAAGAACTCGTAAAAAAGTTTCTAAAACTAACAAAAAATTCTTCAGAAACGATCGACGAAAAGCTCATCGCGTTCACACCACAGCGAGGAGCGTTTCTAGTAGAGATGAATGCAACAGAAAGTTTCTGATTGTAGAATGGCCATTAGTCGAAAAACCAGCTGAGAGAACGACTGCAGGTTAAGCGGAGGCTCGAAGCAAAGTCAATCCAGCACTGAAAAAGAGAAGAACGAATAATTTAAGGCTAAGCAAGTTATTCACTGGACAGAATTTTTGTCAGCATAACCGAAAAATAAGTAGAGGAAAAATTGAAACATTTTCTGTAAAATATGAGCAAAATTTCATCACCTTTTGGTCTTGAAGAAGACAACATTTTTTCTTCAAAAAAGACACAATTTTTGCCAGTTAAAGCCCCTCACATCGAGTTTGCATGTGTAAAGAATAATGTTAAGACCCATGGGTGGCAGATTTGAGGACAGTGGAGCTTCGCACCCTTAGCACCATCACTGACTACCGAAAAGTTCCTCTCAGAGGATGAAAAATTACCTGCATATAAACTTGACATGGGGAAGAAATGAGTACACCGAGAACCCCTTGAACCATGCCCGACTTTTTTCACGTGTAAATTCACAGAGGCATATGAGGCATATAGTTAAATCTCAAGCTTGTCATAATATGATAACCCTGAAAACTTCTGCACAGACCAACAAACTATAGAAGGTCGGCTTGAGCACAAATATATCAAAAGTAAAACTGAAAAAATGGGTATCTCGGTTGCAGTGTCTTAAAATCTCCGCTCCTATTTTATTTTTTAAAGGGAAACCAAACCAACACCACAGCTTGAAATTTTCTTTCACATAGTGAAAAAATCACCAACATTTTCAAGAAATGACATTTGGTGGTTTTCCACACTGGAAAACAAAAACACATTGGATCTAGAGTCCAGACTCTTGAAAACATTGACAAGAAAAAATACTCTTGATTCAATCGGATTTTTGCTTGAATCAAAACGAAATCCGCTTAAATTAAGAGGCTTGGTTCTTGATTTTTGCTAGATTCTGGTTGAATCAAGAATACTTTTTCTTGTCAATGTTTTCAAGAGTCTGGACTCTAGATCCAATGTGTTTTTTTTCCAGTGCGATATACGCGGTTCTGCAGTTTCACCATCGATATTCCTCCGGAGCGTCTGAAGCCAAAGTCCAAACGGTCCCGTTAATCCGAGAGTGACGTCCATTAATTAGAAACACGAAAGCTGGAGTGGTGAATGGTGGCACTACTTAAATTTTAGAGAATGCTGTCGTGGTCTCTAACGGTGCGCGGGCTCCCTGATGCACTGCATCGGCCGAGCGCAAGGAGGAAATTCTTGGCATTTTCCTGCCTTCCGCCATGTCTGCAGCCCGGCGGAGTCGAACCGCAGGACCGAAAATCTGCGACTAGTTACCACTGTTATTCGCGTGTATATCCGACGTGAATGACTCATTGTAAACAATTCCCGGTCGGCGACGGAAAAATTACTCATTGGAGCACCGACCCCTGCGTATGTTGCACTGAGGAGGCTGCATGGGAAAAGCCGGCATCAATTGGACGGAGTTAAACAGAAAGGAACCAAGCCACATCGGGACCGATCCGAGAAAAAGAGGTTTAAAGTTTAGCTCCTGCATAAGACTCAGTGTAAAAGATAAACTTCAAGTTCAATTTCTGAAAAATTTGCTCCAACAAAAACTTTGAATTTTTGGCGATTGATAGTAGAGCAGTGGTTGAGTTCAAAACCACTCATAACTCAATTTTTTCCAAAATGTGGGTTGGTTCCTTTCTGCTTAACTCAGTCCAATTAGTACCTCGCTGTGTGTTGTTAAGAACTCTCTCCTTTAATTGCATGAATCATGATATATTTTATTTTAATTCGTTTATTTTTATTCGTGCGCATCGACTTGATAAGATACTACTATTTTATAATCTAATCAAGATTTTGAGAACGATTTTATTCAATTTAAGGGAAATCTTTCGAACGATTCTATGAAAGCTTGCCATAGCTCGGTAAATGGCGCTCCTGTCTTCTTACGGCGTATTCTTAAGAATAATGACTGAGAAAGCTTTTTACTTAGGCACTCAAACGGAAATGTCCTCCCAAAAATTATACACACGCAGGGGTTGTGGTATAGTTTGAAAGGCTTAGCTAAAGAGAAAAAAATAATGATCGATAAAAATAAAAAATAAACAAAAGCACAGAAAAGAAGAGCCGTGGACGAAAAACTTGGAAAAATTGCCGAATTTTTGGGATCGGAATTTTTTCCTTTAATTTTTGGTTGAGCGTAGGTAATTATTGACGGATTATAATGGATTTATTTTGATGGGTTTATTTTCAAGAGTTTTTTTTTCTCTTAAAAAGAAAAAGAAAAAGAAAAAAAAACACGGATTATTGACCTAATCTGACTTTCTGTACTTTTTGTATGTTTAAACATTGGATCGTTGGTAAAGAATGGTTTCAAAACTCCCTTCATCGAAAGATCGTAGCTCTGCCTAGCAGGAGAGGACTATCTGGAAGCCTAAGGAGCGGTGGCCTCCTGAACTTTGGCCGCGAGGGTCATTTCGACAAAATTTAGGGGCCTTACTTATTTGGCTTTTTTCAAAAAAACTTCGCCTGAGTCTCTTATATATCTTTCCCCTCTGTATAAATGGGAGTGGGGAGGGGGCACAATCCCGGTACCAGCCCCCCGGCATGTCCCTGAAAACTCCAGCTGAAAAAGCCGAGTCACTGCTATTCTACGAAAAGAAACTCCATTATAATAGGGAAGATTATGTGTTTAGGAGAAAGACATTTCGCCGCTAACACCTGACGAGAGCCTTGAGAAAATTTCTCGATGCGCCTAGGGATATCCACATAATACAAGGGTTTCGAAACTTGTTTAAAAATGAAGGTTTCCTTCTATAACCTAAGTTAGAACTCCCATTTTTCTGCACGTGTATAATTTTTGGGGAACGAAGAAAATACCTAGAACACAGTCGATTGAAACTATGCAAGAATGTCATTCTTCATTTGACAGGAAGAGGGAATTAAAGAAAAATACTAGAAGACAACGTTGATATGCTGGCTGTGTGGGTATATAATTTCTCAGTGCAGCCTGTCTTTGAAGTTTTCCTTGGAAATTATCACTTCAAACGCTTCGAAAAAAATCATGAGGAGGAAATTCACGTGAGGTCATTTGCAAATTATCTCCTTTCCCCTTTTTCTCCATTATTTACCACTTGGTCTTATAAGGTTGGTGCAGGGTATGAATTTGTTTGCCTTTAATGATCAAGCTGCAAAGCAGGTGCTACTTTTAGCGGCTCTGGTGCTTGCACTAGAGCTGCTATTCCGGACGGTCCCAGCTGGGGAGTATCATTGGACCATGTTACATTGGAGAGACCGCGCGTTGGTTAATGGGAATCGGCGCCATTTTCGGCTATGTTCCTTGTCATGACTTTATTTTATTGCATATTGTTTTATTGTTAGCCAATGCTATGTTGTGTAGTGTATTTTTGGAATCATGGTGATACAGTCAATAATTCAAAACTTGTCTGTGCTTTAATCTCGTGATGCAAAAAATGTACTTTACGTTCAAAATTTGAAAATTTGAATTTTAAAGTTTTCGCGGTTAAGGAAGCTTTAACCACTGAGTTGGAGCTTCCTAGTCATATTACTCGATATCAGCTGATAGCAAACAAAGGTTACCAAGGAAACCGTAAACGTCTAATGCCGTCTGCCCACGTAGCAAATGGGGGGCGAAAATGGAAGTCATCAGTGCATCGTTGAGTGTTGACGCCCGATCCCATTTTCAGACATGTTCACACGTTTTGCTTGCAAAGAAAAAAGGCGGCAAATCAATTTTTATTATTGGACCAATGAGTGTTCTCCAATTTGAGTTTGTAAACATCGTGGTTTCTAGGTTAGGTTTTTGGCTGTGTGATAAATGATATTATGCCGTCTTTGATTTTGTTAAAATGACTCGATATATGTTATTTGATAAACGATTGGAGTTTTGATAAAGTAAGTTGATTTGAATTAAAAATTGTGTCCTTAAAAAATGGATGATGAGGTGATTTGGTTAACATGAGCATTTGTGGTACTTGCAGCGTATTGGGAGTTTGTATGGAAACGACGTGGCAGTAGTCCACACTTTTTACAAGAAACTATTTTGTACAAAGTTCTGTACAAATTTTACACTATTTATACAGTAATATAATACAAAAAAATTATGTACTTTATCACAACTCACATAGCTTCAAAAAAAGATAGAAAATGATGGATGCTCAGCCCCGACACATCGATGATCGCGAAATTTGCGCGGCCCGCGCAATTTTCACGTTCAACACTCACCGATGCACTGATGACTTCCATTTTCGCCTCCCATTTGCTACGTGGGCAGACGGCACACAACTACCGTGGCCATCGGGGCGATTATTGAAATGACATCGACTCTATGTCGCCGCTTACGACAAGACATATAGCCCTATCTTAACCGTGTAATATATCGCAATTCGATATTCAAAACCATTACCTACAATTTCAGATATAAAAATGCAAATTTTTTGCAGCCTCGCTAAACGACTTATCAACCATGCATTCCAAAGTTTCTTATCACAGGGCTGTGAAAATATACAATCTAATAAATACAAAATAACCAAATATCTAAAAAGACAAAATTTCAGTTACAGTCAGTTTCAGTCTTATTGTTGCACAAACTAGTTATTTGACAAAAAAAGAAGATG